AAAAAAAAAAAAAAAAAAAGCATGGCACGTTTAGGTAATAATGAGTGGTTTTGTGTAGCTACGGAGGTAAGCCTGTCAAACTGCCTAATGTCAAATACTTTGATAGACTAGTTTGAGTTAAAAAAATACCTTGAGTGATTTTTTGAGCAGTATAATTTGACAAAATGAATGTATTTTGCATTATACTGTATAGGGCCAAGGCAATGAAAGTAGGAGACAAAATACTGCATGGAATAAAACCTGTCATACTCACCATGACTCAACTGTTAACTTACAAAAATACACTTACATCAAGAAAGGCAAGAAAATTGCTTACTTCATGTGCTTATGGGTGGATTGAACCTAATTTTGTAGCATTAAAACCAATTTCCCACTGAGAAAACATGTCACAGAGGATGGCATGAACCTTTCTAATTATTAACAATATTTGATATTTCAATGTCACATTTCATCCCGAGATCAGTCCTGTACACATGGGAACAGATAAGCTCCAAGGAAACAGGGATAATACTAATACAGTAATTCACACTGCATTGCTATCGTCTATATTCCAAGAGCTTTCCAGCCACGTATTTCTCTTACTTTTACTTTTAGAAGGTGGTGGATATAGTTGTAAAGAAGAGGTTTTTGTGTTTGTTTGTTTGTTTGTTTTTTATTAGCTCCTACTACAAGAAGTCTTAGCATGGAGTAAGGGCCACATCTTTCCATACACAGCTATCCTTGGGAGATCTTTCCCCTTTCCTTAGCTTCTTTGCTTGCTGATCTCCTTCTGAGACACAGCAGTGTGCTGTGTTTTCATGGATTCTCCAACTTTCTCAAAAGATTAACATCACCATCATCATCATCATCACAAGAACCTTAACTACTATTGCTGCTCCTTATAAAACACTCACTTTATGCCTGCCCTATTCTAGTATTCTAGGAGCTTTAGAAATACACCACATTAACTAATTTCACACCAACATTATAGATGAGTGCTGTTCAACAGAACTTTCTGTGATGATGGAAATGTTCTATATCTGTGCTGTCCAATATGGTATCCACTAGCCACAGGGGACTATCGAGCACTTGAAATGTAGCTAGTGCTACTGAAGAACTGCATTTTTCTTTTATTTAATTTTCATTGAAATAGCCTCATGGCTAGTGACTACTACTACTGTATTGGACAACACAGTATATACTTTGTGGTTTATTAAAAAAAAAGTCTGTTTTCATCATCAGTAAGAACTTAATGAAGACTAGTGTGAGTGAATAGTTCAGAAATATCTTGAAGCTACAAATATTTTAAAAGAAGTCCCACGTTTTACATTTGGAGAACTTTTATTCCACCCTTTCTGCTTGCTATTAAAATTTTACTTAACAGATGCCTGTGGAATGGTAAGAAAATGTAGGATCATTTCTAAACAAAGAACACTTTAAAAAGATGCAGATGATGTCCTTAAATGAAATCTCGTTGTCATCCAACCATCCCACATGGTCAGCAATGATAAGCTATAGGCCATCCACTGAAAACTGGGGTTCCAGTTACTGGTTTTTCCAAAGGGAGATATTCACCTCTGCTTATAAAAAGGAATGGTGAAAGAGGGTATTATGTTTTGGGTGTCCACGGGGAAACAGACTTCAGATAAACTCTTAATTCACATTTCCGCACTTCTCTCACTAAAACCACCTCCCCAGGATTTCTCTAGTTTGTGTGTGAAAATATGGGAATAACCTTCTTTAACGTGAAGAAGCTGATTGGAAGACAATCACATTTCCGTTAGTCCAGAGTCTGTAACTTAGACTGTTACCACTGCCAGAGAAAGAGAACTTAAGTAGCCCTTGGTTTGAACCATCTGTCGCGAAAATGTGACATATGTTTGCTTTGTTTACTCAACAACCAAGTGTAAACCGATACACTGAACAAGGAATCCGTGTGCGATGTGACCACGTGTGTGTGTGTGTTCGCACGCGTGAGGAAGGGGGTGTTGATGAGGGCTTCAGTCTCCTCATACCTGCCCCCGAGGAACACGTGCACAGGAGCGCAGATCCGTGGGATGTCCCCGGGGTTTGGGGCGCCAGTCGACGTGCAGACACACTCCAAACAAAGCGCCGCACGCAAGAGAGTGGCCGCCGCAGCAGCAAGGGGCGCGCCAGGCTGATGTCCAGTTGAATGGAGAGCTACCCAGCCCTCCCCTTTCCTCCTCCTTTTCTCCCCGCTCTTACACCCCGCTTTCAAACTTCAACCAAAGCCCTTGCCCTTTTCAATTACCCCCAGCCCCACCCCTCGATCTTTTCTTTCCTCGGCAGCCCATTGTCTAGTACAATGGGTTTGCATATTTGGCAGCTGGGCTCACCCACCCTTGGTTCAAACTCTGTTTCCCTAAGAGATGAACTTAGACATCAGCAAAGATCCCCAATACAAGTCCTGAGCGGCTGGATGAGCTTGCCACTGCAGGCTGTTTCCCAGACCCCTCTCTGGACACAGCGTAGACTTCGGTGTCCCGGGCGCCCCCCTCCCCACCCGGCGTGTGAGGAGGGGAGCGTGTGTTCAGCGCGCGGTAGGGGGGTCGGCAGCCCGGCTGAGAACGAGTGGTCCCAAGGATTGGGGTGAAGGGCTGTGCGTGTGTTGAACCTTTAAATTTATTATTATTTTAAAATTTACTTTTGAAACAGCCAAGATGGAGGTCAGTTTATAAATTTCCCAAAGCCAGGTCTGACGCGGTTTAAATGCAGTGGGTCAGGGGTTCCGCTTTTGTCTCCTTGTACAAGCTCGAGGAGAGAGGTAAAGGCTGCGTGTGCATCTGTGAGTGTGAGCGCGTTGGTGGATGATTGGGTGGGCGCATCCCGCGATGGCAGCTCCGAGGGCCTGGGTCTGAGTGTGTTTTTAACACGTCAAGTCTTGGAGTCACAGCCGCGAGTGACGTGGGGAAAAACTTTATGTTCGGAAGAAGGGTCTGGTTTGATTGCGCTAGGACGAAGAAAGAAAGAGCCCTTGTGCATTGTGCCCTCGTGTGTGTGAGAGAGACAGACACACACACACACACAGAGAGAGAGAGAGAGAGAGAGAGAGAGAGAGACACACACACACAGAGACCAAGCGGCGCTAGCGGCCGGCTGCAGAGCGCTGTGTGTCCTGTGCGCGCTGGCGGGATCTGGCCCCGGGTCCCACCGCCCGCGAGTGTGTGTATCTGCGGCGTCCCTGCCGGCGAGTATCAGAGGGGGCTGGCGGTGTGCTGCGGGGTGGCAGGGGGAGGCGGAGGGGCCTCTGGCAAAGAACTCTGGCCTCGGAACCCGCTGCCCGCCGCGCATCTCCCAATAAACACTAACATCCCTAAAGGCCATCCGAGCCGGGGCTCTGCTGGGAAGTCATCCTGGCCCAACTCGATCTTCTGAGCTCTCGGAGATTACTGCATCTTTCTTCGTAGCGCAGAGACGTGAGCCTGGAAAGGGAAGGAGAGGGCGAGAACACCTCCCATCCAAATAAATAAATAAATAAACTGGCTTCTCGCCGCAGCTGGAAACGGTCGATTGAGCCCAGGTTGGTGGCATTTGGAGAGAGTTTTCTCATTCTGTCGGCTTGGGAACCCGTCGCCGCTCCCCCACTCCCCTCTACCCCTCTTGTAGGCGCCCCTCAACTTTGCGGCCCAGGGCCGTGCGCGGCGCGGGGCTGCACCTGCCCTGGCGCTCCGGGGCTGCGGGCCCGTGCGTTCGGCCTGGGTGGCAGCGTTGATGTGCCGGACGCCAGGGCTCTGGGCTAGTGTGTGTGCGCGGCGCGGACGCCAAGGAGCAAGCAGAGGACCGAGTGGCGGGTAGGGGCGCAGGAGCCGGGTTTCGGCCCCAACCGCGAAGTAGGTTCCCCCTCTCCAGGCTGCCTCGGAACGGAGGCGAGCCCGGGGGAGGAGGGGATACAGCGATGGGGGGCAGCGATTGGTGGTTTGGGTGGGGAGGGCTGGCTGAGCGAGCTAGCTGGCGCGACGAGGGGGGTGGCGAACTTCCCGGGAGAAGGGGTTTTCCCGGGAGAAGGGGCTTTTTCCGCGAGAAAGAGCTGCCGCCGCCGAGTGCTTAGACTCCAGGCAGCGGCCGGCTCCGCTCGCCCAGCTCGGAAAGTAACGTTATTTATTTATTTGCTTGCGTTCAGCCTCTTGGGTTGGACCCGATAGACACCCCCTTGGACTCCGGGAGCCCGCCTCCGACCTCTCCAGCCTCCACCCTGCCCGTGCAGGCGGCTCCCCGGAATATACGCACATGCACCCCCGGCACCCCCTCCCCGCGCCCCGACGCGGGCAGGGGGTGGGCCCTCACCCGGGCGCTAAAAAGTCCCCCTAGGCGGGAGCAGGGGAGGGCAGAGGGGCGGGGGAGGCTCCAGCACTCTCCGCTCTCGTTTCAAAGCGCGCTCTCCCTTCCAGGTTGGGTCGGACCTGAACCCCTAAAAGCGGAACCGCCTCCCGCCCTCTCGCCAGCAGCCCGCCCGGAGCTGAGTCGCCGGCGGCGGTAGCGGCGGACGGACCGGGGAGTTTCTTCTCGCATTGGATGGAGCTGAACTTTGGGCGGCCAGAGCAGCGCGGCCGTCCGGGGATCGCTGCACGCTGAGCTCCCTCGGCGAGACCCAGCGGCAGCTCTGGATTTTCGGGGGGGCGGGGACCAGCTGCGCGCCGGCACCATGTTCTTGGCCACCCTGTACTTCGTACTGCCGCTTCTGGGTAAGTCGAGGCCGCCGCTAGCTTTCTTATCCGCTGAGTCTTCTTGGAGAGTACTAGAGGCAGCCCCCCAGCACCCCGTACCCCGAAAAAAAAATTGCGGCGCGGGCGCGGTGGGTGTGGGACGGCGAAGTTTCGTTTTGGGGAAGGGGATCCTGAATCCTCAGCACCCCGGGCTGGGGGGTGGGGCAGGGGCGGCGCGGCACTTGCCCGCAGCTTTTCTTCCTTGGGTTTTTTTTCCTACGTTTTTAATGACCTAGGCTGGCGGGAAATTAAAGCCTCCGAGCCCTCCAGCCCCAAGCCCGACGCACCTTGCAAGTCCCGGGGAGCTTGCGGAGGCGCGGTGGGGGGGGGGGCAGGTGGGGGGTGGGCGAGCACCGGCCCAGGAGAGCAAACTTGGAGGGGAAAACTTTT